GGGTGGGGGAAGCTCAGAAGCAGCTATGAGGCTGCTGCACGTCCCACTGCGCTCCTGCCTACCAGCATCCTGCTCCCCTTCATGCCCGGCATCCATCCCTCCCAGCCCCACCAGCCACCTGCCTCTCTTCTTCTGGAAGAACTGGGTTTGAAAAGCTTTGCACGTGGACAGCACGGAACTGGCAGACAAGACTCTGGGTTCTAAACCAGCCCTGCCACTGACTCACTCGCTCATTCATTCATTCATTCATTCTTTCAGCAGTTACTGAGTATCTACTACATCCCAGGTCCTGTTTCAGGAGCTGTAGCAACACTGGACAGAGGAACTTGCCGTTATGGAATTTGTCTACCCAGGGAAAAGGCACACAAAGAAAGAAATGAATATGGACCAGGTAATGAGTGTTTTGGGGAAAATAAGGCAGTGGGGTGTGTCATACAAGGCAGCCCAGAAGCCCTCTCTGAGCCGGTAGCCTTCCAGCAGACAGTGGACAGAAACGAGGGAGTGAGGCATGTGACTATTTGGAGAAAATCCAGTTGTGCCGCCTAGTACAAGTGCTTGGTGCTGTGCCTCAGTTTCCCCTCTCTGGAATGGTCTATGAGATAAGAGCTGTCCCAAGACAACCTCGCGCTATCCGGGCTGGAGACTGTGGCTCCAGTGAGCATGTCCAAAGCAAGTTAGCATGGAAATCAGACTGGATGGCGACCAAGGGGGCCCCTTAGACAGAGTCCGTGAATTTCAGGTAAGAAGAGGGGTGAGGCTCTAAAGTGCCCTCCTCCCCAGGCCTATCTTCCCCACTGTCCCTTCTATGCTGAAAGGTAGAGGTGAGACAGTTGTGGGCTCCTGGTCAGTCCATGTGTCTCCGGGGGCCTGGCCCTGGGAGGGACCCCAGCATCCCAACCTGGGGCTGCATGGCTAGCCTCAGTCAGCCAGTCCTCAGAATTCTCTTCCCCCTGGGCTGAGGCACACAGCCTTCCGGCCATGACAATTGGCGGACGGGGTGCCACCCAGCGCCCTGGCCATAGGGAAGTTTGAGGTGGCTGACCCGAGGGGGATAAGGCTATAAAGGAAGAGAGGGTGGTGGTGCTTTGTCAGGGAAAGGGGTGGGAACAGAGGGAGGATGGGTGGCTGGGAAGCTGAGCAAAGCTGGGGGTCTGCAGTGGTGATCACTGGAGTGGTACGGGGTGGGACCATAGCCCCGAGCCAATACGAGGGCTTGGGTTGGGGGCCCATGGGAAGGGCCGAACCAGGCACCAGGCATCCAACAAGCATTGCTGTCCACTCGTGTTCCAGATTCTGGCTGGATCTGATGGGGCTCATAGACAATGGGAGACAGACAGGGACAGCATAGCCAGCATGGGGCCAGCACTGGGACATGGTAGGGACAGCCTTTGGAGAGCCTAACTCCAAGGAATAAAGTAGCTCCAAGCTTCAACTTATCCTGAAGATGGTGGGACGGGGAGAGTCTGGGCACAGTATAGTGTTGTCACCATCATGAAACCCTCTTTAAAAAGGGTTTTAATGTGTTTCCCCAGTGCCCAGGAGAGCATTAGCAAAGAAAGGCTCAGTCCATTTCTATGGCGGCATACCCGCGCACACGGATCTCTGGGGGCGCCATCCCTGGGAGTGTCTAGGACTTGGGCAGGTGACCCCACTCCCTGGTCTGCATTCCCTCATCTGCAAACTGAGTGCATATAGAAGATTTCCAGAAGATTCCCAGCTCTAGAATTCTGTGTTCTATGATTTTCTGGGTTATTTAGAAGCAGTGTGGCAAGTACCCTCAGCCAACCAATTCCATTTTGAACAGCCTGCCCGAAGGGGTCTCAGGGCAAAGGCTACTGCAAATACTCGCAGGCTCCTGGCACAGTATCCTCCATGGAGATTCTCTGGAAGGCTCTCCATAAGGGAATACCTACCGTCGTGAGGCATGTGTGGCCCACCTAGAGTCACAACCTCCTTGACCTTCTAACTTCCTCACGAAGTGGACAGGACCCATGACAAGGAGGGACCCTGAGCAACCTCACCTGTGTTCCTGGGAATGGAACATGACAGGAAACGCTGCCAAATGAGCTCCCTGCCCTTCATCACACCCTCAGGCGCAAAAAGGAAGTGAGCCCAGAGCTGAGGAGAGAGATCCCTGGCCTCTAGGTGTGAGGAAGTCTCCAGGCAGGCCGGGGCCGGGGCTGGGGCTCGGGCTGATGGGCAGGGGATGGACAGAAGAGGGCCATTCTCCTCCAATATGCAGCTTCCATTCAGCAAACTTGCAGAAGACTCCTGGGAGGCCTCCACACGGATAATGTGAAGGAGAGAGCTTGTCCCAGAGTAGAACCATCTAAATCCCGACCCCCTTCCCCAGAAGTGCAGTGGGCTGCCCCGAGGGTTCCTCCCACCTTCCCGAGGAGTTCTTGGCCTTGAGCTAAGTGCTGAGCTGTCCTCAAAGCAGCCACTGGTCTAGTCTGGGATCCCAAGCCCAGAAGCCCCGACCTTCAACCATTGTCCCTGCCAGTTCTGGCTGCTGCAGAAGGAGCCCACCAGCCAGCATCACTGTCCAGGTTGTAAGCTGGTCTAGGGCTCCCCTTTCCGAAAGCCTGAAACCAGGGCCTAGGTCAGTCCCCCCACCACACGCCAAGTGAATGGTGCAGATAAAATGTCGAGCCACTGCTCCGTGCTCATTGCTGCAGGGGGCTCTGGAGGTGGAGACTGAGGTTGCCCCTGCCCTAGAGGGGCCCCCTGCATGCCAGCAGAGATGCCCAAACACAATCTGCTTCCATCTAGAAACAGGGGAAGCCTTCTCAGCAGAGACGATACCTGAGGACAGACAGGATTAAACCTCCAGTCTTCGCTGCTCAGAGGAATTCTAACCTGGTAGGGGCCGCTTCCTCCTCAGTTTCCGGAGGGCAGAGGTCTCAAACCCCACCAGGCAGGAGCCCCACCTCTCCCTTCAAGTATGGAGGCCTCGGGAAAAGGCAGATGTGGTGCCCTGGTGACCACCAGAGGACAGCCCCTCCAACAAGGGCCAAGCCCCCCTCCTCTGCCCCTCCTGGGGTGGCCATGCCCTGAAGCTCTGGCCGAGCTGCCACCAGAGAGCTTTTCGACCCCCGACCCTTGTCTTCTCCCACGTCTTCTCCCACGAGCTGAGACCAGTCTGCTCCTAACCCCCATGGTTTGCTCACTCTTTCCTCAGAGCTGTGCCCAAGCCCCATGATGCTAGGAATACCCACCAGCCCCAGCTTCATCCCATGGAACTTTCTCTCTGGGCTCTGAAAGCTCAGCTCCTCCTCCAAAGCCTTCCCACAGCTCAGCCCGCATCGTGACCCCCAGCCTGTGTCTCCCCTCCGCCCTGCAATTCGCCCCAGCCAGCCTCTGGAGTGGTCTCACCACCCCACCTGACCCTTTTGTTTTTAAGGATTTATTTATTTGAGAGAGAGAGAGAGAGTGAACAGCCGGGAGGGGCAGAAAGAGAGGGAGAAAGAGAATCCTGAGCACGTTCCCCACTGAGCACAGAACCCAACATGGGGCTCGAAGACACGACCCCGAGATCATGATCTGAGCCAAACCGAGAGTTGGACACTCAACCGACTGAGCCACCCGGGTGGGCCCACAATGACCCCTTTCATCTTATAATCCCTGTATAAACAAACCCCCACCTCCTTCTGGAAGCTTTGCCTAGGTCACCGCTCCCCACATCTCACCGCTTCTTTCCCACAAGCCTCCTTCCCCCCCAACCCTGTGGCTCGAAAGTGTCAGCCGTCGCTATGACACGGCAGCCGCCACCCACAGACACCAGCCGAGTCCTGCCGCTCAGCCAACTTAGACCCACCAAATTTTTGATGCACACACACCTTTGTCGCCATCACGGCCAGGACTGGCTGAGCTCTGACCTGGGGTTCAGCACACTGTCGAGCTCATTCCCTATGTTCTCCCTCATCTTCAGAGCAGACTACAAGGGAGCTTTGTCTTTATTTTATGGACGAAGAAACTGAGGCTCTACAAGTTCACTATTTTGTCTACAGACTCGCAGGTGCGTCTGACCCAAAGTGTGCGTGTTTTCCACCACAGCGAGCCACCGTTCCCTTCCAGAGATTCACCCGTGGAACAACTCGATCAGACTAACAGTGCAAGCCAGCCTGTCCTTTCTGCAGCTAACGGGGCAGAAAACCCTAGAAATGTCACATACCGAGAAACCAGAGGTGCCCTCTTCTCTTCTGTCTTATAGATAAGGAAACTGAGCTCAGAGGTGCAATGTGCCATGTGGCTCAACCAGAAGAATCAAACCAAAAGTACTGAGAAGAGGTCTGTCTGGACTGTCCGGGCCCTGGATTTAATACTGTGTGATCCGCCTGTATTAAAAGGTAAGCTCCGTAGGGGACGGGGACGTGGGTGGGGTAATTCCTTTGTTAAGGAGCTGAGACCAGTCTGCTCCTAAGCCTTATGGTTTAGAACTGCATCATAGGATTCCACCAGTCTGGGGGTTACCCCATCCTGCATGACTACAGCCCAGGCAGCTACACCTTCAGAAGGGCAAAGAGATGGGAGAGTCCTTACTGACTCCCTCTAGGAAGGTATTAAATCAGCACAGCCACGGACATCAGGCCTGCACCCCTCCTGCCTTTTCTGCCTCAAGGTATACAAATAATAATAATGAGATCCCCTGTGCTTTGCCGGTTTCCAGACATTTACCTTTAACCCCTTATTATATATCGCGATAGCATTTTAGGGATTGGGCCCTGGGGGCTTGCAAAGGACAAGAGACTTGCTGGTGGGGAGGAGAGTCCGGTGCTGGTCATTGTTGTTCATTTGTTTCCCAAGTATCAAGGTCCTTCCACATGCCATGCCCCGTACTGGAAGAGGCATGGTTTCTGGGCAATGCCCAGATGCTAGGGAAGGTAGTGCCAGCCTTGAAGCCAGCAGCGAGCTGGGCTTTGAGCTTTTCCCATGGGTCGTTCCAGAGCTTCTCTTAGTGCAGAGCAACACCCGGCTCCTCCTCAAAGCCCAGTCTCTACGTTCTGGCACCCCGGGAACAGGCCTATCCTTCCCGACACAGCGCATCTCCCTTCTGGGGGGCTCCCTTCTGGAGGGTGCTAAGAGGTTCTCACCAAAAAGGTGCATGTCAAAGCCCACGCTGAAGCCTGGCTGCTCTGAGAGCAGGATTGAGGAGGGGTCACACTCCAGCATCTTCTCAGTCTTCCCAGTCATGCAAGGTGACAGAGGCGACAATCATCCTCAGAGCTGTTCAGACCACTCTTCACACCACAACATACCCTTTGGAAGCACAAACCTTCGCCCACAGAAATTGCCCTTTCCTTTTAGGCTGAGCGGGTGGAGTGTCCCGGCAGCCCACAGCGGGATGCTCGCACCTGCGCGCTCTCGGAGAACCGGCCCCTTCCCACTGAAGGTTCCATGCAGTGCCGCGAAGAGGTTGGGCTTCCATCCCATCCTAAATTCCCCCTAAGAGTACAGCCCCCAATACCAGGGCCTGCCAGCAGCAGGGTGCCTTCACTCTCTGAGCAGTCACCAAAGTCCTCCTGGCCCTGGGGTAGGAGCACCCCCTCCACTCTTTCTCCCCGCAGACATGTGCTCCTGGGGGCCACAAAGAAACGCATCTCTTTCCTGGGGCTGACCCTCCAGCTGTTCTCAGGGGCTTTGAGACCCCTGCTTTGACTGTGTTTGTGGCCACCTCCTTGTCCCCCCTAAAAGAGTAACATTTCACCTTCAGAAAAAAATATGGGGGTTGTTTCTAAGGTGCACCCAAGCTTGTTTCAGGAGATAAGTGCCTGTTTATAGGAGGGGAGGGTCTCACCTTTCTGGCCATGTGCTAGAAGGGAACTGTTGTTCCTTTGGTAGCATAGGAGACTGGAATCCAACACAGCCAGGTGACTGGGACTGTGGAAGGTCCACTTACTCCCCTTTTACCTGCCCCCGCACAGGCTCAAGTGAGCCGAACTGCTCACGCTGCTTGGAGAAACCTCTCTGCGAACGCGGAACACATCACCCGCGTGAGCCGTTGCCAGAGGATTGTCACCTGCTTCAGGGACTTCCTCATGCGCTTCCAGCCTGCTGTTTTGCTGGAATAAACGACTGCACAATACCGTTGCTCAAACCCTCCGGCACCAAGAAAAAGACCGATCAGACTTGAGAGGGTCCGCAAAAGCGTGGAGCCTCGCGGTGCCCCACCTCCCTGCTCGCTTTGCCAGCAAACCCATTCATGGCCAGCGCGCCACTGTTTGCCCCACCACGATCCACCTCCCATCCATCGGAATGGAGACCGGGGACGATCCGCGCGCGGGCCGGGCACCTGCAGTGTTCTCGGGTTTGGAAGGGGAGTAGATGGTTCAAGGTCAGGGCTCCGCATGTGGCCCCCACGGGAGGCTGCTGCTCCGGGTCCCGCCACGAGGTGCGGCCCGGCTGGGGACGCAATGGCACTGTGCGGTCGCAGCGGAGCGCGGGCCACCACTCACCTTCCTGGGAGAACGACCGCGGCGGCAGCAGCAGCAGCAGCAGCAGCGCGGAGAGCGCCAGCGCGGAGCGCATCGTGTCCTGGCCTCGGGCCGGGGAGCAGGTGGTTGCGGGTCCGAGAGTCCGAACGGCGAGAGCGTGGGCGCCGCTCAGGGAGGCCGGGCTGTGGCTTCGGCGGCCGGGCGGTGACCCCGGGTTCCCGAGTCGCGCTCCAGCGGCCCCTCCTCGCGGCCGCTGCGGCAGAGCTGGGCTGAGGCGCGGCGCCGGGCGGCGGAGGCGCGGCGGGTGGCTGCGTCGCGGGCGGTGTCTGCGCGGCTGGGCCCGGCCGGCGGCTGCGGCGACTCCCGTCCCGTCCGCGCCGGCTCCCGCCCCCTCCCCTCCCCCAGGAGCGCGCGGGAGGCTGCGGAGGGGCCGGGCGGGGCGGGGCGGGGCGGGCGCTGGACCGGGAACAATGAGCAGCGGAGGAAACTCCGCCCTGGAGCGCGGCGGGCGGGGGAGCGCGGGCCGGCCGCGGGCTCCAGGCGAGCGGCCCCCGGGCGGGCGGGGTTGTGAGTGAGTGTGTGTGTGTGTGTGTGTGTGTGTGTGTGTGCGCGCGCGCGCACGCGCGCGTGTGCGTGCCTGGGGCGGCTGGGGGGCTCCCGGCGCCGGACCGCTCCCCCGCCCGCTGGTCAGCCAGCCCCGGCGCACAGGTGGCGCCCGCAGGGAGGGCCGGAGGGGCCCCCGCGGGTGGAGATCCCCGACACCACCAGGACCCTCGCACGCCCCAGTCCGGAGGAGGCGACCCTCAGCCTTCTTGTTCGCTAAGGATCTTTCGAGGCCTCCCGGCTGCGGCGCGTAGTGTTGCAACTCCGGAGAAACACGTCTCCCGGCTGCCAGGTGCGACTCACCTGCGGGCGGGCCAGCCTTCCGCACCGCAGAGTGTGCACTGCGCAATCTGGACCAATTCGTTGCTTCATCTTTCCAAGCCTAGGTTCCTCATCTGTGAAATGGAGGTGATGGTTTAAAAAAAAAAAAAAAAAAAGGACTTTTTTGAGGGATAAATATGTGTCCGTCTGTGTTCTCAGGGCTTCACCAATATTATTTCATTTACTCTTCACCATAGCTTTATTTTTAGTCTCTTTTTGCAGACAGGGAATTGAGTTAAAAAGAGGTTAATAAATTCGCTGAAGACCCAGTAACTGGTAAGTGGCATATCTGCCTCTGAGAGTAGTTTGGAGAAATACTTGACCACAGTGCCTGGCAAATACTAATTGCTCCGTAAGTATCCACTACTATCCTTATTCTTGCTGTATACAGAACAACAATAAAGATTTAGGGCTCTGGGGTCAAACCTGATGTGGGTTCCAAATCCAGCTGTGTCCACCTAATGAGTAGTTAAGACCCTGGGCGAGTTGCTCTTGGTACCCAGTTTTCTATATCTGTAATACAGGGACCACACCACCGATCTCAGAGGCTTGCCCTGAGATTTAACTAAGGCAATACGCGATGAGCACTTAGCCCAGGACCCGCAGTGATGCGGCCAGCACTTGACGCGTTGGTGAGAGAGCTCTGCCTACTTGGGATGGGGGTGGGAGTTGAATTCCATAAACTGAGTTAACCCAGTGAAAGAACAAAGAAGAACCCTTCCTTTTTTTGTTGTTGTTTTATGTTGTTTTGTTTCTGCAGAAGCTGTCGGTGGGGGTGTGGGGGAGGAAAGTGAAGTTCCCTGAGCCCCCTACAGAGGAGGCGCAGCTTTGGCGCCTGGGCGGGGGAAGTGGGGTGAAGCGGTCCTAGAAGGGGGGCTGATTAACCCTGGAGGCTGGGGGGAGGGGGGCAGCCTGGATCTGGTTCACGAGACTGCTGGGCTGATCATCTGGAATGTCTTTCAGCTGCGTCTGGGAGGGAAGGAGGGTGCCCTGGCCTTAGCTCCGTTGTAGGGACCTTGGACTCCTTGAGACCCTCGTGTTGGCTGCACGCAGGCGCTGCGGGATTGGCACAGCGTCTTCGCAGCAGCGAAGGAAGCTCTGGAGCCCCGGCTGCAGTTCCGCCCGAGCTGGGCTCAACCTTGGGAACGGCTGACCATGCTGTTTTCATCGGGAAGTTTCTGCAGGATCGTTCTGAACCTGTTTTCCACGCCGCATATGGGAAAGACAGAGGGTGTTCCCTGTAAATACCGTGGGATGTGTATGACTATCTTTTATGTATTTTTAGTACTGTTCCCCCAATATCCATGTCAACAAAAGCTTGTTTCTCTGTCTGAAACCAAGCGGTACAATTAAAAACCTGGGAATTTAAAAACTTGCATTATATGCTCTATGATTTAAACAGTGCTTTGCACTCTGTGAATCGATTTCTCTCGAAACCTGGAAAGGAGCATGTTAGTTTTGTAAAGGGAAAATGTATATTTCAAAACTTGGGGCATTTTAAATTCCCATGATTCGGGATGGGTCCAATTACCAGATCATGCAAAATTTAAAATGAGAGCAGACATCCGGGTTTAGGAAACAGGACCTGTTCTTTGAAACTGAAGACTTAGCAAAATAAAAATGTTCTGGACCCTCCCAAGTATCCAACACTCGGCCCCTCCCGCCACACACACATATGCACGATGGGACTTTCAGGAGTAAGGCCTGAAGCTGGCTGGGCCTGAAGGTGGGGGTCACCTATGGTCACTGAGCAGATCTGTCCCCAGGTAACTGGCCTGTGTCCTTGGTCCTATTTAGCAGCTTGTTCCCACTAGCAAGCTCACTGGCCCAGATCAGCTGAGCTTACGGTGGAAACTCAAAGCACTTTACAAATGCTACTCGACAATCCTTCTGGGATTTATTACATTTTGGTTATATTTATGCATGAGTTAGCTCCCCTAAAAGATGGTAAACTTTTTTTTTTGAATTTTTAAAAATTTATTTGACAGACAGATATCACAAGTAGGCAGAGAGGCAGGCAGAAAGAGAAGGGGAAGCAGGCCCGCTGAGCAGAGAGCCTGATGTGGGGCTCGATCCCATGACCTGACCTGAGCCAAAGGCAGAGGCTTTAACCCACTGAACCACCCAGGCGCCCCGATTTTAAACTTTTTTTTTTTTTTAACATTTTTATTTATTTGACAGACAGCAAGAGCGGGAACACAAGCAGGGGGAGTGGGAGAGGGAGAGCAGGCTTCCCGCTGAGCAGGGAGCCTGATGTGGGGCTCTATCCCAGGACCCTGGGATCATGACCTGAGCCAAAGGCAGAGGCTTTAACCCACTGAGCCACCCAGGCACCCCCCAATTTTAAACTTATTAATGTGAGGTCTTTCTTACTCAACTGACACTTTTTTAGACCACCCAGAACAGCCTATCACATCACAGATGTAAATCCAGATACAGGTAGAGATCATCGAATCCAAACACGAATGTCCCCTGGGAGATATCACACAGGGGCCTGCAGCACAAGGTGTAAAAGGCTTTTTCCAGTAGTTCCTGTTAAGGTCAGGCGGCACCACCTGCAATTTGGTGATGCTGCTGACCACACTCTTATGGCAGGTTTGGTAAAGTCCTCTTCATCCTCATAGGAAATAACTTTAATCCCCAGTCACAGATCTCAGTAGAGGGATGGGACAGAACCTCAGCCAACAACCCCCCCCCCACACACCATAAGAGTCAAATGCATACAGTTACCCACCCTGAGGCCGTAGGATCTGCTCATAGGTGCCAAGGATGCCCTTACTGTGGTTTTCCAAAAGGAACTCCGAGTTCCTTGGAGGCCCAGAGTGGTATTTCATTCATCTTGGAATCTCAGTGCCTCATACAGGGCGCCTGACTCCATGCAGGGGCTCAATACACAAAAGCTGAGTAGATGAAGTGATTGGATTATAGCGACAAGGTTGGGCTTTATCTCTGACTGCCAAGTTGTATGATTCTGTGAATACCAGCTAGGGTTCAAGTTGGGCACCTCTCCCCAAAGTCACGTACTTAGTTAGCATGATTACTTGTCAATATCTCTGCTCTAACGTGCATAGAATGCCAGGCTCTGTGCACAGTGCAGAGCAGGCAAGCCTGATGCCCAGCCCCCACCCTCTCAACACAAACACAGTTAACGTGGGGTAGAGGCTATAGTAAGTGGCACGTAAGAAGCACAGGGCAGGACGGGCTCCCTTGGCCTGGGGAGGTCAGGGAGGTCTCACAGGAAGAGTGGGACTTCCCCAGGGGAAGAGCAAAAGAAAAGGTATTTGGGTGCAGGTGGAGTCAAGAATTTTGCCTTAACCAGAGGGCAGATGCGAGACTGCAGGTGGTCACAGCACTTGGAGAGGCCAGTGCAGTGCAACTGTCCCTGTTCCAAAGGGCCTGAGCTCAGCGGTGCTGGGAGGGAGGAGGAGGGATCTGACGCTAGAGGGACTTGGGAGGCAGAACTGATAGGCGTTGGCGGCCCCTTGGTTGTAGACATGGTGCGTGGTGTGGCTTGTGTGGTGTGCTGAGGGACTGAAGGCATGGCAGGCGCCAAGGGTCCAAGTTTCCCACTTGTGTTACTGGGTGGATTGTCTGAGAGCCATGGCTGAATGTCACTAACTGAGACAGAGAACACAGAAGAGAAGCAAGTTTGGGAGAAGAAAATGATGAGCCCAATTTTGCACACGTGGACTCTTGAATACCCATGGGGCACTCAAGGGCCATGCCTAGAAGATACATCTGAGACACTGACACTCAGACCTGAGAAAGGACTAGGAGTGGAGACTGATGAGCCATCGAGGTGCAGACAGGAGCTGTGGCCACGCACCTAACTGATCCCTCGAATTCCCAAACTCCTGAGATTCAGAGAGAGCCTGGGGTCCAGAGGATGGTTGAGCTCACCACCAACCTCATCACATGGGAAGTAAAGGCCGGGAGAGTTGGGCTGACCTGTCCCCACTTACACAGCTAGTAAGCAGGGCTGGTTCCAGAAGTTGACTAGCTCTCCAGCCCCCTGTGTCCCTTGGCGAGATTATATGCATTCATGCATCTGCGCATCTGTGTCCTGGGCTGTTGGTCTCTCCACTCAAACAGCCACAGGTCCTGTGGCAGGAACAAAAGAAGATGAGCCCGGGAGATGGAACTGCTAGTTAAACTGGAATAAAAGAAGCC